CTCCCCCGGGCGCATAACCACATCAGCTGCAACAAAGCTTTAATTAAACGTGACCCACAATGCCTCATTATCCAGACAGTGCAGCTGAACTGATCAATGGCATGGTATTGGGTGATGCTGCCCCACTATTTGCTCCAATTTATAACTGGCATGCAACTCCTGGCATATATTTGTCATATTCACAACAAATTCAAAATAACTCGTTAGCAATAAGAATCTGAATGCTTATAGGCTACCTTTAAAAATGCTAATTAAATATATTTAATCATGAGAAGACTATAAAGAAAATAGCAAGTAATAGTAAGGGGTCAATTAACAAAAATTTAAATTAATTAAAAAGTTATATAAGTCACTTATTGTAAATAAATTAAATGTAAACAAAATGTAAACATGAATGTAGTTATTTTTTAAGCAAAAGTATATATATACAAAATGTGTAAACAGTTGCGAACTTGAACATTAAAGATGCCCAATGATTCAAATGGTTCACTGTGACGTGTCTCCATGCTTTAATGTTCAAAAAGCTCTTTATTTTTCTCATACTTCCTGTGCTGCAGCACCTCTTTTTACCCTCTGTCTGAAACCAGAGCCCAGTCTTCTCTGATTGGTTAGCTGGCCTGCTCTGTTGTGATTGGTCATCCGCTTAGAGATGTCCGACCCCTTAGCCTGTCAAGTACAATGTGTTGGAGCGCTCGCGTGACTGCTACATAGTGATGTCATTATGTTACAGAGGTAAACAAAGGAGTCCAATGGAGGTGTTTCAGGCAGGGGGGGAGTGTGTGGGAGAGAAGCTCCCTCGTGAACTTTGGGATTTTAGCCTTTGCAGACCATTTACATGCACAAACACCTATAACACACTAAAGGTAAAGGGAAAACCCCCAAAACATAATAGAAAAATAAATGGTGCATTTAAGTATTGTGTTTTGGAACCTTGCTTTAACTTGTTTTCCAATCTGATAACCCTATTTATTCCTCCTCCTTTCCCCCTCCACCAGGCATGCTGAAAGTTGACATGAACTTGGATGGCAATGGGGGGGGCGGGGACACCATCAGCCACTCCCTGACCCTGGTGAAGCGTCTGGAGGCGCTGCTGCTTCAGGGGAACGGCAGTGACCTGTCTCTCCGGGTGGAGACCCCCAGCGCGGACGAGGTGAAGGTGATCCAGGCTCACTCTCTGGTGCTCTCCCTGCAGAGCCCCGTGTTCGAGGAGATCCTGCTAAGCCGCAACAGCAGCAAGCTGGTCCTGAAGGAGGGCTCCGACTGTGCAGCTGTGTTTGATAAGTTCATCAGGTGGGGACACATTTCATCTCAATATGTCAGACTGTGTGAGAGTCACTTCCAGCCCCTGCTTCACCCAGTTTGATTGAGTCGTTATGCCTAGAGGAATGAACTCTGCAACTGCAGCCCTACATTAACCGAGACAAACAATCAATGAGTCCAACATAAAACAGATTGACCATTCAGGGAACTGCTGGGTTGCTCAATAGCAGCTCCTGTGGTGTAGCAATAAGACATTGAGGAGCCTGTGCTGCAGGAGCAATCAATACAACTATCTATTTTTATCTCAAATGCTAATGAGTTTTACTAAAACCTGTATTACAGTAGACATGATATATGCCAGACTGAGACTGAGATTCATTCATTGTAACAAAAATAAAACTACACCTTTTCCCCGAATACCATAAAGGGTCAACGGTAACTTTTTGAAGAGGAGGATGCTGTGAGATTACTTTGATTGAATTCAGTCTGACAGAAACACAATTCTGTTTTCATAAAAACAATGAATCAAACAGAGAATTATGACCAAACTCTGCTGCTGTAGGTATTTTCAGCAGTATTTAGCTCTTTGTTTTGGGTTTAATAGCACAAAAACAGTTTTGTTCTGTCTTCAGAACCAGCAAGCAGTTTGTTTTCAGCAAAAAAGCTATAATAAACCCACTGGACAATACCTACCGAGTACCAAATGCTAGACAAAGGTAGCATGTAGCAGCCATAACCACACCTAATTCTCAGGAGTTGGTTGAGACCAAAACAGAGCTAAAATAGATTAAATGTTGAACTCTTATCACCATGTCTAGATAATTTTAGGGTTGTACTCCATGTGTGGATGGCGCTTTGCATTCATCAGGTAGACTTAAACAACTGCATTTGGATGATTACGTTGCTTTACCTGCTGGATGTGTAGATATGCAACTGTTTTCTAGCATATTAGCATGTGAAAATGTTGTGTTCTTTAGCTTGTTGTGGCGTTTTTTTGCCCCCAAATGGCAAAAATGCTGTTGCAGTCCAAGAATAGTGGGTCTTGATGTTGGTAAAACTTTTTCCAACTAGCTGTTTTAGGCTAAATGGTCTCATTCTGAATGTATGTATGTTGTTGATTCAAATGCTTCACCTTGAAACCCCTTCTTCCTCTTTCTGAGCAGGTATCTGTATTGCGGAGAGATTTCACTGCGTCTGGACCAGGCAACCCCTTTACACAAGCTGGCCACTAAGTACCAAGTGACAGGCCTCCAGCAGGGCATCACCCAGTACATGACGCAGAATCTGGCCCGGGAGTCCACCTCAGGCCACGTGGCGGGCTGGTATGAGTACGCCGTGCAGGCCGGGGACGTGACTCTGAGGGACAGCTGCATTCAGTTTATGGCGTGGAACCTATCGTCGGTGTTGCAGAGCGGGGAGTGGGTGACCATCAGCAGCCAGCTGCTCATGTCCCTGCTTCAGCGGTCAGACCTGATCCTGCAGAGTGAGATGGAGCTCTTTGCCGGGCTGGAGGCCTGGATTATTCAGAATGAGCCGGACGGTCTGACAGCGGAGAACGCTTTGAGAGCGGTGCGTTACGCCATGATGCCGCCACGAGAGCTCTTCCGCCTGCAGACCCAGTCGGCCATCTTGGCTCGCTATCAAGAGTCGGTGCGCGACCTGCTCTACATGTCCTACCAGTTTCACTCTGCGTCACCAATGCAAATGGCCAAGTACTTTGATGTGAACTGTAGCCTCTTCATGCCTAGGAACTACCTGTCCCCAGTGTGGGGGTCTCCCTGGATCATCAACAACCCCTCACGAGACGATCGGAGCACCAGCTTCCAGACGCAGCTGGGGCCCAGCGGGCACGACTCCAGCAAACGGGTGACCTGGAACGCCCTGTTCTCGCCACGCTGGTTACCGCTCAGCATGAGGCCGATGTATACAGATTCGGGCGCCATGCAGCCGACACGTGTGGACGGAGGTCGCCCTCGCATCATTATCACGCCGGCCACGTCCAGCGCAGAATTCGCCGGAGTTAACTTCCAGAAGACGGTGATTGTGATGGCTCAGCAGCAGGGGAAGGTGGTGGTGAAACACGTCTACAACTTCCACCAGAGTACGGAAGAAAATGGGGATTTCTTGGCTGAAGCCGACCTGTACCGCCGGACGTCTGAATACCTCATCGACAGCTCCCTCTTCCTCCATATTGTGGTGAAACCTCTGTACCAAAGCCTCATAACCAGCAAGAACTGACCCTCTACCAAACACAATCCAACCATGTGAAGCAACATCTCATATCACATCGTGGGGATCTGAAACCTCTTTGAGTGTGATGTTTGGACCATTTGTCTTGTCTCATGTTATTGCTGTTTCATTGGGCAATTACCACACCAAAGCTTTATGTATTACTGCTTGAGAGCATTTTTAAATATTGGAACATGTTTCAAAGGATAAGCCTGGTGTTATTATACATTTTTTAAATCCCATTGATCAAAGTCTGATGTGCCCTAGAGCTCCATTGTTGTCCAAAAACTATTAAAAACACATCAAAGAGCCACACTCCCTTTAGTATTTTTGACTCAATCACACATCCACGTCCTGTTGCCCCAATTACTCACCAGAGCATCAAATATAGATCAATCCGCCACTGAAAGTAGACCCCAACAAATGCACTATTGCATCCCGGTTGAGGTTTTTTGCAAGTAATCTAAAATGCCCAAAGTTTTAAGGGCATTACAATGTCTTTCTATTTTTTTTTATTAGAGTCTTTATTTGTAAGCTGTCTGTAAAGCTTTCTCTTAGAACTGATGTTCTTGGTGCTGTAAACCTAAAAAACTGTCGGTTTTGGTCTTTTCATGGAATTTGCTGTCAAAAAGAAAAATATGTAATATCACCAGCTGCATCTTTTATGTTTGCGGTTCGGTTCCTGTTACATTTTATTTGTATTTTTGTTTTTAATATTGGTGCTAATATCCCTAATTTGCAATTAAGGGGTCACAGTTGTCATTCAAAACCCTGAAAGCACCAATTTGCTGATTGAAAAACAATCACTAAATCCGTGCTTTCTGGGCACCAAATGTAATCCTGTTGAACTTCAGGTGCTCCAACAGGCCCGTTTTTACTCTTTACTTTTAATGTATTTATAAAACTACTCGTATAAGCCTTCACACCAGAGTACTGTAGCTGTCAGAGTAACTTGTCATTAATTCATTCATTAAAGTCATTACTTAGTTTCACTTTTGCATTAATCAATGTTACCTGATAATAAAGATTTTTACTGAACTTGGAAAGTAAACTGAATATTTCCCCTGTGATTTCATGTAATCACCATCTCAGCACCGGACAGAAAAAGTATTCATTTCATTTAAGACAAGTCCATTTTAATTACAACCCGAAATTAGGCTCTTAGTAGGGTGTTATGAGATGTCACCCTGTACTCTCGATCAGGTTAGGAAAAACTGCAGAAATGCAATAGATTTTTAATTGTATTTACAATATGTTATACATTGTAAGATTAAACCACCAAAAAGTACACAAACAGATAGACTAGTGGAAAAAAAACTCCCACATACACAGTTTATTTTACTAACTTATTATTTTAGTTATGTAGATGTACCCTAAATTCACTGGATGTAAGTATTAGATTGACGACTAACTCTGAGCATCTAAAACATATTCTGGATGTTTTTACACATGGGTTTGTTTATTTAAAATTAAAAGCCTGATTTCACATTTCATTCTTTATTGCATGAATATTTTTAAACTGATAAAATCCCAAATCTTCTGTCTCCAAATCCTAACATTTCAACCAAATACAATAAGATCTAGATGTTCAAAAAAAATTGGGAAATGAATGACACTTTGCTCATATTTAATCAAATTGTTCTTTATGTATCAATTTGGAAGGTTTCATGGTGACATGCAGAGGTGGGAGAAGTACACAGATCTTGTACTTGAGTAAAAGTAAAAATACCAGAGTGTATGAATACTCTGTTACAAGTGAAAGTCCTGCAATCACGCAAGTGAAAGTACAAACATATTATTTTCAATATATACCTAAAGTACCAAAAGTAAAAGTAGTGATTGTGCAGATTGGTGCATTTCAAAATAATATATATGATATGTTTTATAATGATTGATCATTAATTGTTCTCAAGCTGCGTAAACGGTGCCAGCTAGTTTGAATGACGTTTGATCATGAAAGTGTTCTCAAAGCTTGTGAATTTACTCCAGGTGGAACTAAAGTCTGATTTAACACTTGGTTATATTTCACATCATTCTTCCACATCTGTAAAGTAACTAAAGGTATTATACATGTAATGGAGTAAAAGTACAGCACTTACCTCTGAGTTGTAGTGGAGTAGAAGTTCAAAATAGCAAAATATTTAAATACTCAAGTAAAATCGCAAAATTATACTTAGGTGCAGTACTTCAGTACATCTACTTAGTTACTATACACCACTGGTGACATACATTATAAATGTCACCTTTATGTTTTGTATGCACATCATTTAACTATTGAACTAGTTAAAACAATTCACTAAATACACTAACATTTTTTATTAAAGTGTATTACTTTAGTTAATAGTACTATCAACCACTGCGCAACACACTACTTCTCCTTACACTCGTTACACTCTAGTTTACACAAATCCAGCACAGAAATGTAAATAAAACCGCTCTCTAAACGCTCTGGACTCCATTTCCCATTATCCTTTGCGCTCCAAGCAGGAAGAACGTTCTCTCGCAGGGGCTCGCACTGATCCAAGTTAGGAGCTTTCAGCTGCCAGCCTTGGCCCATCATGTAAGTGCTGCGGAGAATTCTTTGCAGTGCAATTGCAGAAATTACCTGTTTTCCCGACGCCTGCGGGGGCCGTGCAATCACACCGGCGCTCTGTGCACGGACACGCACGCTCCGGACGCAAAAAGGCTCCAAGTGCATGAAGATCGAGGCTTGTATTTTGCATCTTTGTTGCAAAAAAGCAAGCCGCTGAAGCTCCATTGCGAGGGCGATGGAGGGAGGGAGTGAGAAAGAAGGCAAAGTCTTTTGTGCTTCCCCTCCCCCTCATCAAAGCAAAGGGGAAATGTCTCAGCCAAAGGGAGGTAAGCATATGAAACCGATCTGTGCAATACTGTGCGACATCATGCAATCACGGCTGCACGGTTTGCAACATGCAGCCGCTGCAGCTCGGCCGGTGCATTTTAAAGTTACATGGCTTTAGAAAAGGGTCAGTTGCATTTCCTGTTTAAAGATCTTCCCCTTTGCACAGTTCCTGGTAAGACGATGCTGTGTGTGTGCTCACTCATATTGACGCTGTTCGCAGGGATGTTGTGCACAGGGCGCCTTTTAACAGTCACGAGATAGACAAGGACAGTGCAACTCTTTATAATGAAACTCTGCACGACTTGATGCATGGCTTGTGACCATTGCTCAAGGTAAATACTGGAAGCAGAGTCGCGTGCAGGGCTGCACATATGCGTGGTTCTGTGCAGTGACGTGACAACCCGCAGCTGTCAGTGGTCAAGTTTGTTTATTTGGTGTTGATTTGTTCCTGTTTATGGGACAGACAATTACAATCTAAGAATATAATCTGTTGTCAGGGTTGGGAGGGTAACTTTAACAATGTAATCTGTAACAATTACTAGTTATATGAAAAATAAAAAATGTAATTTAATCTGAGTATTTAATTTAAAAGTAATCATTACTTTCCCTTACTTTTGGATTACCTCAATATAAAATGAAATGCAAATAAAGAGAAACAAATTACAATAACGTGATTTTTGCTTAAGTGTATTACGTAAGACAACAGAACAATGAGACTTTTGGAAAATAATATATTAACATGTGTCCTCTTATAGTTTAATATATTGATTAAACATGGTATTTTTGCTAACTAATCAGGTGTTCACCAACTGCATTTGAAAAAAGACTTGAAAGTAGCCTAAATGTAAACCAAAAAGAAAACAAACAGTACATCCACCTATAATATAATTTTTTTGTAATCCTGCTTGTAATACCCTTTAAAAAAAAATGTAACAGTAATCTGATTACTTCTTTTTTAATGTAACTGTAAGGGAATACAGTATAATGTGTTGTATCCTGATTATGTAATCCTGTTACATGTAATCCCCAAGCCTGTCTGTTGTGAGCATTGAGGTGGTGTTGAGTTCAAGAGCAGGGGGCTTCTTCAGGGTATTATAAAACAAGTCTCCAAACATCCTGTCCTGGCAACTGGATATGAGTCCAACCCCTGTGTGTGGGATGTTTCCTTTAGCATGCATATGGAAGCATGCATGCCACACTTTGACCCTGACTTTATCAACAGCTGTGGAGTACCTGCAGCATGAGAGCTCTCACAGAACATCAGTGACTGCAGAGAGAAAAACAGCTGCAGTGAAACAGCTCAGGCGTTTTTCTCCTGCCTGCACCGTGTTTTCCAAGAAGTCCAAAGTGAGGCTGGTTCATTGCACAACATGTAGAACACACACACACACACACACACACACACACACACACACACACACACACACACACACACACACACACACACACACACACACACACAGTCAGAGGGCTGTACAGGATGTGAACAGGTAGCAGAGAGAGCCCCCGACGGTCAGAGGCTCGCAGTGTTTATCTGGTACAGTCAATTGTTCACCCACCTACACACAGGAACACACACATGATGATGAATAATGCACAGACATGGGTTTTATTTTTTGTACATGAATGAGTTGGTTTGGGACTTTCCTGAGAGCAGAAGTAGGCTTCTGTTCAGTGATGTTGTACGGTGCAGAAAACGCCACGCACAGAGATAAAGGTCTGAAAGGAGTATTGGTTAAATGTATGGCTGATTTTTTACTACATTAAGTTTGATCTTGAGTTTTTGTTGTATGACAAACAAAATGGCACTGGAAATGAAATCACTTTTGTCAACTCCACGCACATTGATGGTTCTGTTGCGGCCGTTTGAAACCATGGATCCTTAGTAATAATGAAGGAAATACCTAATTAGAGCTGCAATGATAAGTCAATTATAGAAAAGCAATTTCCTCAACTGTTTTGATAATGGATAATTGTTTATTCCTAAGTTTCAGCTTGTCATTTGTGAGAGTTTTCTTCAGTTCTGCTGCTTCTGTGATGATAAATGAAATCATTTATTTATTTTGGTTTAACAAAACAGGCAATCTGATGGCAATGCTTTGGGCTTAAAAGTATTCATATTAAACAAATATGCCAAACATTTGACGTTCCAGCTTCTACATTGTGAGGATTTGCTGCTTATTCAGTTTTAGATGGTTGTGAACGAAGAGAGACACATTGGAAATTGGACTGTTGCTCTGAGAAAACATTTTTGAAGATGGAGATTTTTCATCGTTGTGAATTATGAAATCAGCGTATTAATCCTAGTTAAATAATTATTAATTGCAACTCTAACAGATTTAACAAATTACAAGTATCGTATATCTGAAGTGTTCAAAGAAAGTCACAGTAACCTGTTTTTTTTGTTGAAAAAACGTAACTTTCGGAACAAATATGTTTGTAATTCGTTAAAACTCAAACTCAACCCATGTATCCTCGTGATAACCAACACTGTAGAATGTGCCTTGGTTTTAGTTCTTTCATGGTACCTTTGGCCCAGGGAGTGACATGCTAACGTGACAGTAAGGTAGCAAACAGCCCTGCCCATATGCATGATTCCTATAGAGTTATATCCAAGATGCGGCCACATTTTACTTGATGCTAGATGCCTTGTTGTTGTGCTTATCTGACCAGGATGGCTTGCTTGATTCCTCCATGTATTAGTAAAGAGGACAACAACATGGCCGCTTTATTCACATTTAAACTTCAAATCAATTAATTATCATGTTTAAATGTTGTACTTACAGATTGTTAGCAAGAAACAGTTAATGCAGATATGAGTTCAAGTTATAAGAATGTATTTTATTAAAAAAGAAAAATGTGCAATAAATCTTACACAGATTATACATCTCAGTAAAGTGAACACAGGTTGGTTTGTACTGAAATTAGAACTGTTACTCGCAGCCCTTCACAGACTGTACATTAGTGTTGTATAACTTAGGAAAGGAAATGAGTACAAATCTGCAAAGCTAAAATAAGCACCATGTCCTTGCGTTTTATTGACGCCAGACGGAGCAAAAATCCCATCGTCCTACTGCTGGTTTCCTTCAATTCTCATATAATTTGGCTTGGAAATGTGTGTAAAGTCTTGAATCTCTGTGGGGGCCGCAGCGTTTTGTCCCCTACCATTGTGCTGAGTGCGGCAGTGTGCTGTTCTGGCCGGTGGCAGGTTGACAGCCCCCCCCCAGCTCGTGTCCCCCTGCAGCCTCACTGGCCCTTCAGCCCATGCACAAATGTCCCGTTTGTCATGCTAATGGAGGCAGCGTTTTCAGCTGCACAGATACTACATTTGCTGTTTCAACCGGCCAGTTGTTGGACAGGTTCCAGGCCTGAAGTGGCTTTTTTTTTGCTTCAATAACAGTCGAATTGTTCAGAGCATTGTTCACATGATCCACTAACTGTACTTCTCTTTTCAACTGAGTAAGCATGCATGCATTCAGACTGCAGCAACTTCTCTGAACGACATTATTTCTGATATTTTAAACAATTCCTGTTTATTTCAGCTTTGCATGCAAGCAGAGTTGTGAGATGTTACCGTGACTTCCTTTTTTTCAGTAAAGCTGATAATAACAGACACACAAATCCAGGTCTCTATGCGACCTGAAGTAACCTCTTTTTGGATTGTGATGTTAGCTGGTTTCTATACTTCACTGTTGACCCTGGATAGGGGAGGAGGGGTTGTTGCACAGTAGCATCGCCTAGCACTGCAAAATAATGCATGCATATCATGTAATTTATTAAAGGGGGATGAGGACATTGATTTAAGGCGTTTAATTTCTTGATGCATGCACATGTTTTCTCACTAGTGTAACTCCATCCTGCAAACATGTTCTCTTTCTCCCAGTTCTGGCTTAGAGAAAGATTTTCTGGAGGAAACAATATATTTGCACTACAGTGAAGTTGCATGCATTCTTCCCCAACCTTTCTCTCTACATGTGGATAGTTATACTAGTGGCTGTGCCAGCTGCTCTTTCCTTTTGTTTGAGTTTGCTGTAATTATGTGAGAGCAACCTCCATTCTGACTTTACCCACAGTCAGCAGTTTTTACACCTGTGTCCTTTTATGTTTTTTTCTGGTGTTAAATAAAACAAGTTATTAAGAGCCTTGATAGGAAAGGAAATAATAACATTGAATCGGTGTGGGTTGAGACCTTTTTTTATCAACAATTGATTCAATTTATTAAAAAGTATGATTTATTTTGCGTTCACCTAATAAAGGACTCCTATTGTGCATTTAGGGGTTTTCCCATTCCTATAGTGTGTTATATAGGTTGTTGTTGTTGTGCATGTAAATGGTCTGCAAAGCTCAAACTCCCTGTCTTCCCTCCAGAGAGAGTTTCTCTCCCACACACTCCCCCCTGCCTGAAACACCTTGTTTACTTATGTAACATAGTGGCATCACTATGTAACACTCGCGCCTCTATTGGCTAGCGCTCCAACACATTGTACGTGATAGGCTAGGGGCCGGGACATCTCGTAGCAGTTGGCCAATCACAACAGAGCTGGCCAGCTAACCAATCAGAGGAGACTGGTCTCTGGTTTCAGACAGAGGGTGAAAAGAGGTGCTGCAGCACAGGCAGTATGAGAAAAATAAAGACCTTTTTCAACATTAAAGCATGGAGACAGTAGAGAGACAATACAAATATGAACCTGAAATGAACATCATACGGCCCCTTTAACATTTGTTTTTCTACAAACAGCTAATCTCACAACACTGCTTGCTTCATCTATATCAGTTTGTGCTACATTGTCTGCCCTGGTGTCTGTGCGTACACAAGACGATGACGATATATACCTTACATTGACCTTCGCGTAGCTACAGAATGTATCATTTGTGCTAATGTCTGTGTTCTCGGGCTGCATCAGTGACTCACTGTTATGAGTGATTTGCAGTTGAAGGCCTTTTTGTTGACAGTCATGAGTGCAAAGAGACACTCAACTCAACACGTTCTCACTGGTAG